TGGTCCCTGACAGATATGGAGAGCTTAATTTTGAGGAACTGTGAGGTTGCTTTCCTAAGCAAACGCTGTCGCGAGAGAGCCAGCGCTGTGAACGCGAGGTGGACACTCCTCCCAAAGAGGTGCAATGTGGTTCCGTGGGAGGTTTGCGGGGTTTATAAATAAGAGCGATGATTCAGCCCCGAGGAAAGGAGGAGAACCAGTGCCGATGAAAAAGAGTTGCGCGAGCATATCGGGTGACAAATGTGCTGAGTAAAGTGAATTGTGAGGAAAACTTGCCAATTTCTTGCCTGCTTGACAAGAGCCTCGTGGGTACTTGATCGTATGACTCACTGAAAATAAGGGAACTGTCCAAAAAGCCGTTTTCACGTGGCGAATGTATTGCAAAAAGGGTGTTTCACAACTGCTCCTCTTGAATGTTCAGCAACAACGTGAGGTTTCGAAATTTTGGTCCAAATTCGGGAGAAAATAGGAAAGAACTGAAACAAATTTAACTGACTCAGAAGCAGGGCACGGCAGCGGGTCCTCAGCAGAGGGTTCGTATCTTGGTTGCTAGAGGGAAGGAAGTAAAATTTCTTGATTTTTGATTTTTTCCCGTCCCACGCGCGCTATATAAGTCTTCAAAGATTTGCCTGGCTCGGCTCATACGTGGCCCATGTTGTTCCCAATGGAAAAAATAGTGACGGATTGTGCCCCTAATTCCCAATGGATAACTGCGTGTCCACTGTGGGTATGGTCCTAAACTGGCCATCATTGAATAGCGCTAAGTAAATTCCTATGAAGTTCTCGCCCCAGGTTGTTTGCGCTGCGCGACTTTTCAAGTTTCCTTGAATGTTTGTGGATTGAATGAATCAGAATGGGTAAGAGCCAGATGGGCTCACGAAGGAGTCTATAGAGACGTGTGAGTCATTGATGCTGGTCACTCTTAGTCATATCCACCCACCTTTCCCTTTTGCGAAGATGTGAGCTATGGGGCAAATGCGGAGACCAAGAAGAATTTTCTCGAAAACACCCTTACAGGGCCAAGTTTCAATGGGTTCCTGTTTGTCCCGCCACATTGTGGGTGGGTTTTTGATACGTTATTTAGCGTTTAACTTTTTTGTAACAGCTAGAGAGGAGTATGAGCAATTATGGTCTTTTCGGCGCAGTTCGGCTTGGTGGGGGCACCTAACGGTAGTCAGCAGAGCTTGTAAAGATCTGCTGATTCCTGTGACCCCAAAGTGTACACCTGTAACCATTTTACAGGTGCACAGGAGTTCACAGGCCAACTATTATAGTTCACAATAACTAGCGAGAAAACCAGCAGAAAGTGCAAAATGCCCCCACTAAGCCAAACGGTGCCGTTCTTTCTACCAAAGATCGACTATTTCTCGTCTCTATAGCGCTCGGTTCGATTACGGATCGAAGGATTCCTGGTACACGCTTGTCGTAAGCATCTTCTTGCGGTGGCACCCACGTTGGCTTGTTTTGTTTATGTCAAACCGAAAAACCGCAGGGTCAGGAAGGTGTCAGCAACCGATAGGGTTTGTTGTGTACAGCATAAAGAAAGCGACAAGCACGAGTGGGTTTGAAGTCCAGCTAGAAGCCTGTTTACGTCAGATATGGGAGACCTCAATGATAGGGAAGTGTCACAAACCAAAGAGCAGCACAAACCAGTGCCCAAGACGACGGCACTTTGAAATTTCAAACCGGAATCTATCGAAGTGGAACCTGGAAATCAGTGGCTTTTGTGGGAAGCGAACTTGAGGCCTTCGATGTCGGAAATCTCCAGCAAATAGTGACCGGAATGGCTAAAGCTGTACCAAACTAATCTATACAGGGCGAATCTCGATCTCCCGCAACGCGCTTCGGCGAAGCTTCGACTTGAGGGGGGCACCAAATGCACAGAGCCAAAGCCCATGCTGACTGTAAATAACTGATTCTTTATTAACCAAACAGGTTACCTGTACCATTTTATGCAAGCCTTCACAAGAATTCGCCAAGAAGCCGCCGCCACTATGAATGAGGAGTCGAATGAACAAGAAAAAGTCAGCAGAAGGTGCACAGCCGTGGAGGGGTGCGGGGGGCAGGCAATAAATAACTGGCGCGTTTGGGCAAGGCAACCTTGCCCCAGAAGGTCCTGGCTGCTAAAGCGCCTCCTTATGCGGTCGTCTAATAAGGCTATAGGCTTCAAGTCTGAAAACGCTTATAGAGCTAGAAACAAACGAAGTCGAACTAACTTTGTGATGGCCCGAGAACGAGTACGTTTGCCTAAAGAGGCGTTGGCCCGTCATCCCTGCGAACTAAAGCGCCGGCAGGCCACTAACACAACCGCCGATGGGGATCAGAAGGGCAAATCATTGCGTGGAGTAAAAAGTGTCTAGAGAAATGCTGCTCAAGACAGATATCAATTTTCGATCAATAAAAAGCAGAGTTTCAGGTGGTAAAGCCGCGCTCCCGCCAAGCTGAACTAATTTCATTTCTGAAGTTTACAACCTTTTACATTTTGGCACTTACAGAATGAAATTCCCTTTGAAGTCACTACTCACAATTTTTCTCCGGACCAATTAATATCCGATTATTTCAGGGAAGTACTGTGGAAATGATCGTATGTGCTACCGGATGGCCCACACCTACTGTCAAATGGTTCAAGGTAAGCATTATCACATTACTATATCGTAAAATCAGCTTTCTATGTCTTGTAGGGATCAGACTGCAATTTTCCGCGTAGTTGCGGTAGCTTGCAATTTCCAGGAAAAGGTTGGGTGAGCTATGTCCTTGGGCTCGCCCTCACATATTCCTACTTTTCAGGCGTCAGAAAAGCCTCCCACTCCGGAACGGCACCTCCGTCCTCTTGAAAATTGGAAGCTACCGTATCCTACGAAAAATTGCGGACTGATTTCCAATAGGGCACAGTAGGCAGTTCGGCTTGGTGGGGCACTAAATGGTTCTCAGTGAAGCCTGTACGGTTTCATCTTATCAAGACCTGTGAATTCTTGTAACCGTAGTGGCTCATCTACATCACTTCGCAAGAGTTCACATGTCGTACCAAGAAGGAACCAGAGAAAATGCAAAAATGCCCCTTCCAAGCCGAACAGCGTCAAAAATCTTCCAAGGAAGTACCAACCATTCACCAATCATTCCAGGACGGCAAAGAGATCGTTTCTGAAGGTCCTGACGGTGGAACCGTGATCTTTACCGACGAACGAGGCATTCATCACCTAGTGCTGCTCAATGTGTACGTACCGCAGTAAATCACTCTCTTTCGGTACCAAAGTTCCTAATCGCTGGATGTTTTAGAGGTCCCAAGGACGAAGGCGAATACTCACTAGAGGCCACTAACAAGCTGGGCTCGGCTAAAACCGAAGGTGCTCTGAGTATCATTCGACCACGACAGGTTGAAGGTTACGGTCCTGACGAGAGGTATGGAAAAAACTTGGCCAAAAAAA